AGGTCGAGGCTGCGGTGGCCGGGAGCGGCCACCACACTCCAGTCTGGGAGACAGAGTGAGACTCCAACTCAAAAAAAAAAAATGTACTTTTATGTTTAAGGAGATGCAGCCGTAATTGTTATATTGTTTTTATTGTTGCACACATAATGTTTATTTTGAGCATTTAAAAACCTTTTAAAAACAAAAAGCAAAAGAGTCTTTTTAATGTCAAACCTCACATTGGTAGGGAGACTGTTTTGAACACTCTTTCACTAATATAGAAATTGTCAGACATGAGACAACCACAAATGTAAAGTGTGAGTTGTTTCTGTTTTGTAAAAGAGGAAAACAAAATCATAGCCATAATCATCCAAAAGAGTGGATCGTAAAAGATCACAAGTAAATGTCTCTGAGGTGGCCTGGATTGGCTAAAATAGAAAAAGTCATTATAAGGCTGTAGATGTGAGCTACTCACAACGTGGCCATCGGGACTTGAACAAGTAAGTGTATTCCATAAGAGCTTTTTGATGTGTGTGCCTGCTCTGTGTATTTTTATCGCCTGCCTCCTTCTGCTAGAACCCAGCTCCACAGGGAGCGGCCTGTCTGCTGTATACTGCTCAAGTGTCTAGAACAGTCCTTGGCATGCGGTGGGCACTCAACTGTCATTGGGGGTTTCGTCTCCTCCCTCCCTTCCATCCTTCTCATGCGAGTGATGCCCCTGCATCCCTGGGAGGCAGCCTAGCCATTCTCTTCCCCTCATCTGATAATCAGGCAGCAAGTCCTGTGTTCTCTCCATCCCCCATGATCTTCAACCACCCACACTTCTCCATCCCCAAGGCTACCACCTCAGTGACAGCTTCAACCTCCTCTCACCACCTCTACCTAAAGGAACAGCCTCCTGCCTGGTCTCTCTCCTCTCTTCTTGCCCTTCCCACCCTAATCTACACCCACTCCTGTCACCCCAGAGCCTCCTTCTAAAACAGAGATGGCCACGCCACCCTCCAGCTCCTGTGCCCCCAGGACTCCCTGTTCCCCTGGGGTGAAGTCTGTGGTGGCTCAGTGCATGTCACCCTCCCTGCACGCTCTCCTTTAGTCCCCACGCCTCCAAGTTCTTTCAAGGCTGTGCCCCATCTTGGGCCCTGTCTCTAGTGCTTCCTTTTCTCCAGTATGTCCTGAGTCTCCGTCATCACCTGCCTAACCTCTGCTCACCCAATAGGGCTTGATTTAGAGACCACCTCTTCTAGGAAGGCTTCTTTGATTTTATCCCACCCCACCCAAGCTGAGTGAAGCATTTCTTCTTGCCAAGGCCACACAGCAAGTAAATTGTTGAACTGAGACTCAAATTCAAGCCCTCTGTTCCCCAAACTACAAGCCAAAAACAGAAGACTGCGTAATTATGTATTTACTTAGGGAAAAAGAGACTCAAGAGTGAGGTAGAGCTAAGCTAACATCTTGGAAAGACGCCCAAATTAAATGAAAACAGCAAGTTATAGAACAATGTATATGGCATAATTCCATTTTAAAACCCACAACAACATACTATACAAGCTTATATAGGTTGCTAAAGAACATAACAAGCCTAAATGAATAAAAACTGAGCTGTTAACAATAGTTATTGGGCAGTAGCATTTAAACATTCTTTAAGTTTCAAATTTGTTATGTATTCTCTATGTCCTAAAAATATCAAACCCAATCAAAGGAACTCAGCAACACCTTTTCTTCCAGTAATAAATAAAAGACATGAACATCCAGGAATTGCAATTCACAGGGACAGCTTTGAGAGGAAGGTTCAGCCCTGCTTGACATGGGAACAAGCGGGCTGGCCAGGGAGCCACACTCACCTTTCCCAGCAGTTCAGGCAAGCCCAGCAGCTGCCCAGTGAACACACCGATGCAGATGAAGATGGCAGTCACCTGGCCCAGAGAACCACGGATCTCCTTGGGTGAGATCTCGCTCAGGTACATGGGGAGCACGCTGAGGGCAATGCCTGTGGAGGAAGCATGGCAGCAGTGACAGAGCCGTCTTCCTGCGGGAGCAGCACCCAGATGGTGGCGCCTCCCTTGCCCCTGCTTTATTCTGGACGTTCAGTAGCTCTGTAGCCACAGCATCATTCCCAGTACTTTGCAGAAACTACCAAGGCGTTCACATGCGCCTTATCATTTAGTCTCTAAGACATGGCTGGGTGGCGCATTTCAGCAGTCAGGATGTAGCTGATCATGTTGGTGGAGGTGGTGGTATTGATGGGGGTGGTGGTGATGATGATGATGGTGGTAGTGGTGGTGATCATAACCTACCAACACACACAGTGGCTACCACATAGCAGGGGTCCTTCTCTTCTCTGTATAGATATATTTTTACTTTTTACAATAACCCTCTGAAATATATGTACTACTATTATTTCTATTCTTAAAATGACTATCTTAGATACAAACAGGTTGAACGCCTTGCCTAAATCACCAAGTGGTTTCTAGAGATGCCCATTGAGGTTATTTTCCCAAAAAGAGCCAGAGTTGGCCAGGCTCAGTGGCTCAGCCTGTAATCCCAGCACTTTGGGAGGCAGAAGCGAGTGGATTGCCTGAACCAGGGGGTTCGAGACCCGCCCAGGCAACTTGGCAAGACCTCATCTCTACAATAAATAAAAAATTAGCTGGGCATGGTAGTGCGCGCCTATAGTTCCGGCTACTTGGAAGGCTGAGGTGGAAGGATTGCCAGAGCCCAGCAAGTCGAGGCTGCGGTGGCTGAGAGTGGCCACTGCACTCCAGTCTGGGCGACAGAGTGAGACTCCAACTCAAAAAAAAAAAAAAGAGCCAGGGTAGGTTTCTGATTCAGAACCTGAGCTCTCCCCACTAGCTAACATTGCTGCTTTACTCAGTTATGGCAGATACCGTTCTATTCATTTTACCAAATAGGTCACCCACATATGACCTCTTTATTTTTGAGATAAATTTATGTGTTCAGAGGCTTATGATAGACATTTCAGATTAAAAAATAATGCTTATAGTAATATTTGGCAAAATGCTCCCTGCATACACAGAGGGCTTGTGAGTAAAAACAATATGGGGCCTTGTCAGTTTCAAGAAACCTTGTTTCTTCCCTATGCCTGGGCAAGGTTTTTCTTAAGGTCCTGTATAGGCCTATAAATGGCTACAGTGCACTCATCCTCAGCAGTATATATGAGTGTATGAGTATATAAATGGCAGGGGGTGGGGAGTCATTTCAGCCTTATTACAGCCCTTGGAAGAAGGTAGATACTATTAGCTCCATGTTACAAATGAAGAAAATGAGGGTCAGAACCATTAAATAGCTATCAAATGTCAGAAATTGACAAGCAGTAGAGCTGAATCTAAACCCCGGGATGTCTAAGTCTAAGGTTTGCAAGATTGTAACACATGCCTAAAAGTGATACTTTACAGCATATTTAGAAAGAAAGTGGAGATATCTGACTATATATATATCTCAGATATCTCCACTTTCAAGAAATATATATACATATATTTCTTGAGTCAGAGTCTCACTCTGTTGCCCAGGCAGGAGTGCAGTGGCATGCTCATGGCCACCACAGCCGTGACCTGCTGGGCTCCGGCAATCCTTTTGCTTCAGCCTTCCAAGTAGCTGAAAGTACAGGCACACACCACCATACCCAACTAACTTTTTTATACTGTAGAGACAAGGTCTCACCAAGTTTCCCAGACAGGACTTGAACTCTTGGGCTTGGGCAATACTTCGTCTCTGCCTCCCAAAGAGCTGGGATTACAGGCGTGAGCCACCAAGCCAGGCCTGACAATGTATTCTGAGTCTCCTACCCTCGCACCGATAACCAGGATCTGGCCCCTTCTTCCCAGCTCTCTGCTGCCTGCCCTCTTGTCCCAACTCAGCCCACCTCCTCCTGGGTAGCCGGTTGCCCCGATTTAACTCCTGGCCGCCCCTCACACTCTCTACATGGAAGCAGGAGGAGTCATACTGAAAGAAACCAACTCATGTCAGTCCTCCCCCTCACACTTGGCACGTGCCCACAGTTCTCACCGTGGCCTACAAGGCCCTGTGTGGTCTGGCCCTGTCTCCTCTTCAACCCCATCAGCACTCACGCTCCCTGGCTCGCCAAGCTGCAGCCACAAGGACCTCCTTGCTCTTCCTCAGATGTGCTAAGCCCCTTCAGCCTCACAGCTGTTGCACTCTTCTCTCTGCTGGGAACCCGATTCCACAGATACTCACTCAGCTCTCACCCTTGGTTCTCTCTTATCTCTGCTCAATTTTCTCCTCTGAACAGTCTTCCCTAATTGGCCTTTCTCAAATAGCCCTCACTAGCCCCTCAGCCCTGCATTTATTTTCCTCCTAGGACCTGCTACTGCCTACCATAAGTATCAAATTATGTATCTGTCTGCCCTCCAATGAATGCAAGGTCCTGGGGTAAGGTCCTGTTAGTCACTATGTCCCCAGCCTCTAGCACACCAGTCATTGCAGGTGCTCTGTAAAAACCTGGTTAGTAAATGAAAGAAAGAATGAGTCAGAGGCCCAGGCAGGAAATAAAGTCCTCATAAAGGCTCCCTGGAGATCACTGATAATCCTGGAATAAGAATGCTGTGGTGGTGGTGACCAAGCAGAAGGCATGGCATTCTGGAGACCATTCAGTTCTTTGGAGTTGACTCGAGGACCCTGTCCAGGATTTCTCAATTGTGAATGAAATGGTTTACCTTGCAGGACTATCCCACTATGTGAAAGGTTCTTTCTAGCATCCTTGGTCCCTCCCTGCCAGCCTAATACCAGCAGCAGACCCCAAACACCTCTCACATTTCAAAACACTCCCCTAGGAATGTGTTACTGATCCCCTCCCCGTCATGATGAACGCTCACCTCCATCTACGCCCATGACGAAGCGTCCCACGATGAGCATCTCAAAGGCTCCTGCCTGAAGAGAACAGGCCATCAGCAAAGCAGCGGAGATCGCAAACCCGTTGTTGGCCAGCAACGTGTACTTCCTGGAAGGAAAGCAGGGGTTTGATGAGGACGTCTACCACGAGGCGTGTCACTGACCTGTGCATCCCAGGAGGAGGGGCCAGGCCCTTCTGAGAGGCCAGCAGAGTGAGGTTTAGGCACCGTGTAAAAAGCGCCAGTTGGCCTAAGAGTCAGGGGCTTGGGTCTAGCCCCCACTGCCACCTTCGGCTGTGTGATCTTGAGCAAGGCACTTCCCTCTGGGTTCGCCACTGGGGTTGACTAGGTCACCTCCAAAAGAAACTTGACATCTATAAATTTCCTGAGGCAGTATTGTATTTCATTGATTCTAAGGCTTTTATATAGCATTTCTGAAGTCAAGATGCATCTTACAATCCATGAATCAGGGTCTAGGCAGGAAAATAGAAAACACTCTAATTATCTGAACAGAGAGAATTTAACATAGGGAATTTGTTAGGCAAGGCAAATACTAGAGCACTAAGATGTCAAAGGAAGACCTCTGAAGAGGGGACGCTACCCTTGTAGTGCTAACAACTTGAGACACTGGAGGGGGCCCTGTTTTGGGGTGGACACTGCCCATTGAAACTGTTTCCTCTGAGGGGCACCAGGTTTCTCGTTCTGGGAGTGGACAAAAGTTGTAAGCTGGAATCAACCGCCAAGGTCATCACTGGAACTGGTAGGATATTCAAACAAATGTAAAAAAGCAAGCCCCATCTCTCTCCTTCTCTAGCAAAAATACAAAAAAACAAGTGGGGGTGCATTGCCAGCCCTAGCTTCATAGAGCAGAGCACAGAAGGTAAGTGTGTGGCTGAGAGACAACAGCCTGACAGACAGCACAGTGTCCTACAACTCTTGTCGGCCCC